CTTAATACGTTTTCAGAAACGTATGGTTGTAAAGTAAGTATAAGTATTGAAAATTTTCACATCTAAATTATTTTGTATTTATTAAAGATTATACAAGTCTTTCTACATTTGGTATTGAAGGTGGTAGAGATTGTGATACCAGAGCTTGACCAGATGCGAACAGCTCATGTTGTGTCAATTGGTTCTGAAGCAGCAGCCTCATTAAGTCCCGACATTCAGATTGGGTATAAATATAATATTATTTATGCCTATTTGGAACTTTTCTAAATTAATATATAATTTTTATTAGTTACTGATACATGTTTGATGTTTGTTATGTTATGTTATATATATAGGATGGATAAGAAACTTACATTGGATTCACGTATTAATTTTGCACTTTTCAACTCATTCACAGCTGCAGACTATGTTGCTGCACAACGTCTCAGGTAACCCTAATTTATCATTTTTTACTGAATGGTGTTTCTTTTTTTACGAATTTGCCTTCATCTATTTTTACCATCAATTTCAATCTCAAATATTTATATTTATAAAATTGCAGGCGCAGGATTATGTATTACCACATGGAGATCTTCAAGAAAGTCGATGTCATAGTTACGCCAACAACTGGGTATTTTAATCTCATCATGAAATATATTTATAAAACAAATCTCACTTGTTTATTATTCTCATGTCTTTTTAATTTTTAGTATGACAGCTCCTGTAATTCCCAAAAGCGCACTTGCATATGGCGAGTCAAATATAAAGGTCACAGGTGAGTCGACTATCTATTTTCATTTCACTAATTTGCTCATATTATTTTCATGCAATTTAGTTAATGCTTTTTATCATTATTAATATTATTATTTTTCAGGCAATTTGATGCGGTTTATCATAGCAGGAAATCTTCTTGGGCTCCCAGCTATTTCTGTACCTGTAAGCATTTGATCTTATTCATAGTAATTTTTTCAAAGATTCACATTCATCAATTATTTATTTATGTTCTAAAAAATGTTACATTTATTTATTTGTATATTTGTAGGTTGGGTATGATAAGGAAGGGCTTCCAATAGGATTGCAGATTATAGGCCGACCTTGGGCTGAAGCTACAGTATTGCGTTTGGCTGCTGCATTTGAGGTATTATAATTATTTACATATCCTTACATTTATATAAGATTTCATACGAAAGTTTTTAACAACTTAATTTATAATTTCAGGGCTTACGTGTTGAGACAAAACGCCCTGCATCTTACTTTGACACTCTAAAGGGAAATTAAGTTATATGGGTAAAAAGGCGTTGTAAACTTTGTTGTGTGGCTTAAAAGATGGTTTAAATGACTTGTCACATTATTTTGTTGATATGACATGATAAATAAGTTAAACTTGTAATTTATGTGTTTACAGTAACAGTTGTAGTCTTGTAGATGTTATGAGAAGGAAGCCAATGTACTTATGCTATTTCGGGTTGATAAAGTTATCTTATAGTGTCGTTATTAGGAATATTCTTCTAGAGCGAAATGGTAGGATGATTTGAACCTGAACTTTGAAGATATTTATGCAATAACTAGTATAAACCATTAATTTAGATCAAGCAAACCAATTTACTTGATATTAGGATAATTAAATATAAGGAATGATTTTTGAAATAATTGAGCTACAAATTAAATTGAGACTTGAGATCGCTTGAAAAAAATGGCACGGGTGTAATGTTCGTATATCCTTCTACCAACCTGCAAATAGATTCAAACTTAACGGGCTACATGTTAGCCACTTGACCCGTTTAGATATTATTTTTTATATTTAATAAATAAAAATAAAACCCTAAATCTTAAACTTGTGACCCTCCCCGTTTATTTGTTATATATAAACCTAATTGATTAATATGATTTCTCTTCTTCCCTCCCGAACTCACAAATCGAAATTGCTTAGAAGTTAAGGTTTTATACTATTTTTTTGAATGTAAGACTCGAATTGTTTGGTTAGGAGGAATGGTCACTCATACCACATTTTTTGCTACTATCTATGCACCACATTATTTTTGTCACACCATACTAACTTCTTGCCATTTAGGGGTCGATTGTCACACTTTTTTATAAAATAAGTATTAACAATTTTTTTTCCATTAATTGAAATTAAGAAATACATAACAATAAATTAAAAATTAATTTGAAAACTGATCTTGCAAATCATCGATGGTTCCGTGTTAAGATCAATGTGATGTCAATATTACGTAATAATTATCTTCTTGACAAGTACTCATTGCTATCAACTTCTACTGGTTGTGTCGGTAGAATGATTTTGTTTTTATCATACTCACATATAGCGTTTCTTTCTTCTTCTGAAATATGATATACATATACATCACCTCACTCATCTTTTTCTCCTCAACAAAAAATGTGGGGTTTTGTAGTATTTGCCTATGCTTTTTAAGAGCTTCAAACGCTCGTCAACATCTCTCTTCGCATTTTTTCTGATCTCTCTTAAAGTTTAACCTCTTTTGATCATTAGGGCATGTCAATGTTTTGAAAAAAACATAACGCTTAGGGTAGATTCCGTGTACAAGATAATACCAATACCCGTAAGACAATCCATGCACTACAAATGAAGAATCCAATGTAATCCTGTTATTTATGTCGTTGAATCAGTGACATATTTAGAACATTGATCTCATTAAGGGATCCGAGAGCACTGAAGAATGCAAGTCATATCCAGAAATCATGTGACGCAACAACTTCAAGTATGATAGTTGGATATCCTTGATTACCTATCGTGTATTGACCATGATATGCATTCAGACAGTTTCCCCATTCCTAATGGAGGCAATCCAAGCTTTCTTATATTCCAGGGAAGCCTTGTAGGTTTGTATAATGACCATACAATTGTTGGATGTCATTGTAACTAGGTTTACACAGATATCATGTACCATACAACTTCATGACATATTTGCAAAATATATTAAAGCTTTCTCATATGATACATGTGGACATCCTAAGATTCTCATCCAGTCTATCCCCAGGGATAGGGGTGTCATATGCTATCATATGAAGTGTGGACGTGTATTTTTGTAATGGATTAAAACACATTGGACCTCTTGTATCTTGTATCCGGACGTTGTTGAAAATATGGACATAGTTCTGTGATGTTTTCGACTATAAATTGAAACAAATGTTTGTGTATTCAGAACAACAGTCGAAAAAAGCACCATTGAAAAATTTCATGCTCATTAAAATAATCGTGCATGACGTTAGTGGACATCTACTTGGTTGCTCTGTATATATTTCCTTTTTCCGCCTCACATTTTCGGCTTTCTCCTTGCATTGTTCTTCAGTCTTGCTCATCACTATATTAGCAACTGTCGCCGCTTGTAGCACCATGTCAAAAGTTCCCGAAGATGAATACATTTTGAAAATTATAGAGAAGAAAGCGTTGGTGTAGTATAAAATTGTGAATTAGGTTGGTATATATAGTGTCTTTGAATTTAAAATAAAAAAATTAATATTAAAAAAAAATCGTTGTTAGTTAGACAGTCAAAGAAGAAATCATGAGAGAGACTCCAAATTAGGTACCAAGTACCCTTGCTTGTTGGGCATTCTGAGGTAAGGGCCAGAAGCTTTCCTGTGCAAGGGTTTTGGTTCCACCCTTACAGGATCATCTCTAAAATGGGCCCTATGCATGCATTTAAATGTCGAGGCAGTGCTATATATCCGACACATGGGCGGAGCTCTTAAGAGGCCAGGGGAGGCCATCACCCCCCCCCCCCCCCCCCCCCCCCCCGTTTTTACAGCAGTTTATAGTAATCTTATGATCGTTAATATGAGATGAAGATGCTGATGGTAAAAATAGATCTAGCATGATCCTAACAGACTTGAAAAAATTAATCTTTTTTATAATCAAATAAATTCATATCACTAACGACCATTATATCTAAGAAAAAGTAAAAAGGAAAGAAATAACAGATAGCAAAATAAAAAAGACAGTATGTCTATAGATAAAAATGGAAGAAAAGACTTGCACAAAATAGAGAAGAAACAATGAGAGTCAAATTATTAAAGAGGGAAATAATAAATGATTTGCATAAAGTAAAAAAAAACAGAAGGGGAAGAATGTCGGATAAGCATCGCCTTCTGCTGCCGTTGCGCAGTCTCCCACGGTCATCAAATATCCGTCCTCCCTCTCCATTAGCGGCTAAGAGCTTTCTAGTGCTGCCCTTTGGGATGAAGATAAGTGGTACTCTTTCATAAAGTTATGATTTTTTGTATTTATTTGTTAAAAAAATACTGCTAACTTATGTTTTTATATATATTCCATATAAATAGAATAAAACAAATTAATATTTGTGTTGATGATGATTTTTAATTGTCAAAAAACTACAATATACATCGATAAGCTTTATTATTTAAAAACTAATTTTGGAATAAGTTTTAGGTAAATATTTATATTATTTAATTTTGATATTAAACTATGATTTGTATAAGTATATTTAGTTTGACAAAAGTGTCAAATTGGTCATTGTGGTTTGCAAAAAACTTTGGATGAGATCCAAAAAGTTTTCACATTGCATTGAAAGTCCAAAATCAAGAATTTTCTTTGGTTTTGGTCCTTGAAACTTTGAAAGGACTATTTTGCCCTTATTATTTATTTTTCACATTTTCTTTATTTGTTTTAATTGTTTTATAATTAAAAAAAAAAAGAGAAGGACGGGTCCACCCCACCCTCTCTCTCTCTCTCTCTCTCTCTCTCTCTCTCTCTCTCTCTCTCTCTCTCTCTCTCTCTCTCTCTCTCTCTCTCTCTCTCTCTCTCTCCACCAAATCGCTTTTTGAAGCTCTTTATTTTCTACATTTTGAAATTTCAACAATGGTGGTTACACTCTCCCTCCGTCACCTCTGGAGGGCCACCACCGGCCACCACCAAATCAAATGAAATGACATCAAAAATAAAAAATCCACCATAATCAAAGATAAAAAAATCTACTGAAATAAACCAACCCAAACCAAAACAAAATCAAATACCCTTCCATAAAATGTTTACACTCTCCCACATAACCTTTCTCTACTTCAATTTACTGGTTCATCGTTGCTTCAAACTTCCCTCTGATTCATTCTTATTCATCAACACCGTGACCTTTATGTTGCAGAGCTTCCATAATAAGAAATCTCTCCCGGTTTCTAATAACACCACATATGACCCATCACCACCACCAGCGGGAGTCAGAATGCACCAAAGGATCTCCTCAATGACATTTCATATCCAACCACCAACAATGTCAGATACAACCGTGTGGGTCGTGGGCGTTATGCATCTCCAAATCAGTATCTTCAATGGGGAATCGGCGTCCACATCCATCAGGAACTGGTAGGATATTGGCTGGGGATCGATCCTTTCCAGAAAATCAGAATTCGCATAGGATCTGGAGATGAATCAAGAGGCATCTTCCATTCTCGTTGCCATAACAAAGGTAGATTAAGACACATCTGACAAGTTCGTCAGATCTGATAAGTCGGACTTCCTCGGACCATCAGTTCAAACTCATACAGTTCTACCGTTTGAGAAGATGAAGGTTGAAGATGAAGAGAGAGAGAGAGAGAGAGAGAGAGAGAGAGAGAAAGCGAAAGAAAGAGAGATACAGTCGCTCTTGATCGAAATCTCGACGTTTTCTCATTAGATCTTTTGCCGGTTCCTCCACCTATCGATTTGTTTTAGTCTGAAAAACCCATAAATCAATTTGTTTCTTCCTGATGTCATCGATTTGAGATAAGCTTGATTTAGAGGTGAGGGTGAGGAAGAAGAAGATAGGAGAGAGATTTTGATAAAAAGGGAGTAGGTTACCAGTGGGATTGTATTTTATTTTTATTTTGAGAAGATCCATGTGTTGAAGAAGGAGAGAGAGAGAGAGAGAGAGAGAGAGAGAGAGAGAGAGAGAGAGAGAGAGAGAGAGAGAGAGAGAGAGAGAGAGAGAGAGAGAGAGAGAGAGGTGGGGTGGGCCTAATTTTTTTATTTTTAATTTTAAATAATAAATTATTAAAGGAAATATAAAAAAATACAAAATAAAAAATAAAAAGGGCAAAACGGTCTTCAAGTTTTCTATGGACCAAAATCAAATGAAATTCTTGATTTTGGACTGTCCATGCAAGTTAAAAGCATTTTGGACCCTATCCAAAGTTTTTTGAATACCACAAGGACCAATTTTGCAGTTTTATCATTTAGTTTTTTGAGTTAATTTGCTCCGTATAGAAAATTTTCTAGGTTCGTTCAATGATCTAGTAAACAATAATATTGTTAATTAGATATACATATTTCATATTAGTTGTTTCTTTTGATCTTTAATAAACAATTTAAGAATAACTTTTTGTTAATTATTTTGTTTAAACATTTTGTATATAATTACTTTGAAACAAATTAAAAATGTTTATATGGTTTTATGTTGATTTTTTTATCTTCCGGCCCCCCTAATTGTAATGCTCGTGTTCCGCCAGTGATCCACATCTTCTAGGCTTAGAAGGTTTAGAATTCAAATCCATCCATTTATATGCATGCATTTCAATTATTAATTAATAATTAAATTATAATCTCCTTCAACGCCTATGAGTTTTAAATATCACAAGAAACTTTCCTTCGCAACCTGAATCAATTTCCAATCCAGAATCCTCCTCAATTTCCCACATTTCTTTACGGTTTCTACATCGTTTTTATAAGCCTAATGATAACATAATCTTCTGATTTATGGTGAGACTGCTTCGGAGATTGCTGAGGTTTTGAATGCAAACTTTTCAGGAATAACCTCCATGTGGAAAAACCTTAATCTCCTCACTTTGAAAATATAGCACTTCAATTTGATGATACTACAATATACCCCCTAAAGCAAATTTAAATTAAAATATTCATTCAAAAACAACTTACTGAAAACTGAAACATTAACACGTGGAGAAGGATGGAGAGCCACAGCTTTTATCATTTTTTTTAAAGCCTCCAATTTTTCAACTAATTTTCACAAGCAAAAGAACAATATTTACATGCCTTTGTAAGACAATCATCATGCTATATAACATGGTTATGTGAGTTGCAACTTGCATGTTTAGACTTTAGACTTTTCATCACATTTCAACAATAATAGCCATTAACATTTTTATCGAGGAAAAATATACAAAGAAACTGCTAGATCTTTTCGTATTTCGTAACCTTTTCTTTACAATTCCACGTTACCAAAATCAAAAAACTATGGGCTAAGACTTGTCCAACATTATAAAACTCCTTCAATTCACCGACTTCCAAACGACAACACAAAAAAATATAAAGACTCACTCGATCAAATCCAACAATCAGAGATACAATCGCTGGCACATGTTAACCGACATCACACAACTGCAGTACGGACATTGAATCGTATGAAAACGGGTTTTCCTTTTCGTGAGCGCCGATATCGTTTGACTACAAAGAACATGATGACACTCATCCATACCCAACATCATCGCCGGATTATCTTCATCGCTTTGTTCCTTGCATACCGGACAAACAAAAGCCGAATGAAACTGAAACTCTTTTCCCAACTCCATCGCCACCGGAAACATCCTCATCGCCGCCCATTCCTCCCTACCCATCAGATTAGCCTTATTCAAAAGGATCGGCAGCCCAAGAGCTCCGGCATCCACAGTCACCGTTAATGGGTTCCTAAACGACACCCCAATAGACCCACAGAACTGAACAATAAACTCTTGGCTTACCGCCGCCCATTTTTCCGGCGACGTTAAGTCGGAGTAAGGTGAAGTTTCGACCTTCTCCGGCCAAAAAAAGAAGACCGTGAGAATTAAAAGTTCGTTTCTGTGATTTGAAGCAAGTGGTGAAAGGTACGTTTTGACAAAGTTGATTCCCTCCGATGGGGTTTCTTTTAAAAGCTTCAAGAATTGAAGTCGCCGGAGGTTAAACTCAAGATTATTGGACTCCTTCGGGTCAAGTATGTGACGGTTGACCGATACCCAATTCAAAGCGGGTTCAAGATTTTTAGCTTTCAATGCTTCAAGAATCTCATGCATTTTTGAAAAATCACGTCTTAACCAATTAATATGGCGTTGTTGAGCTTCGTTTGTGAATGTATTAGCGACATCAAAGAGACCTTCATGGTAAATTAGGTTCAGAATGATTTTGTTGATTATAGGCGACTCAAACTCCACGTTTCTGGATGCTTTTGATATATCTATCTCTACGAATTTACCCAGGATTTCTGGGTAGTTTTTAAGATCAACTTTTAGGTCCTTCTTCAACATCTTTATCTGTTCTTGAACCCTATATGCATCGAGCTTTTCTGTCAGGTGTTTGATCACTGATTTATGATCGATATCGTCTGCTGATTGAAGGTCGGCGAGTGCTTGTTTAATCTCATCTTCAATCATAACGATCAGTTGGTGGTACTTACTCGTAGATAGATCTTGTTTCTTGGCAACTTGATCAAATTCATCTATAATGGTTTTCAGATCCATTAAACCTGCAAATGTTCTGCAAAAGAATTACACAGACGAATTCCAAAATTCTCCAATAAGTTCGCTAGATCTTTGATGTGAACGATTTGAATTGCAACTTTAAAACAACTTCTGATAGTAATTCTTGATAACGAATGTAAAATTAACAATATAGAGAGAAAGGAAACATATACTGTCAATAGAAGTGGCACATTATGAAATCAAAACCTCAAACATGCAATGAAAAAGGAATGCTCTGTTTTCATATCAAGAATTACGGATTAAAGAAAATTAGGGTTTAGCATTGCATAAGAACTTACGGTAACTTGTAGATTGGAATTAAAACAGAAATTAACGAGGATCACGAGAGTGTATGCACGTATGTTGAGATCATCAGGCAAATTTGGGGAATTAATCGACAGCGATTGAAGGTTATATATAAAGTTGAGAAAGATGGCAGTTTGTAAAGATGGTGTACTCAGTATGATGCGTCCGAGCCGTTAAATATAAACTACATTGAAAAGTGAGATATAGCTGATTGGAGCCATAAGATATAAAATTTACATCCAATTATCGAATAAAAAAACTATTTTTTTATAAAAGAAATCAAAATAGGTAAGTTTTTAATTATTTGAAAGAAAAAATAAAAATTAATATATAATGGCAATTACATACACAGCCTACGTGTAGATTTTATTGAAACTATATAAATACTTAGTTATGAAAAAAAATCATAAATTCATAGATTTTGATATATTTAATCTTTCTCATCCCATTTTAAGAATTTGAGGGTTCAGTTATCCTTTAAAAAAGAAATAGTTGTATGATTTGTGAGTTTTCATCAATAAAATCAATCTAAGCATATGCACATAATCTCTCCTAATTAATACTTGTCTTGGTCTTTATTAAATGCATGTTTTTTTTTTTGGAACAACAAATCTATTCTACACTTAAATTATTCTTAAATTTCCACAAGGCAAATCTATTCTACTCCTAGATTACTCTTAAATCTCCACAAATCTATTTTACTCCTAAATTACTCCTATTTTTTGGAACAACAAATCTCTTCTAGTGTTCTACTCCTAAATTACTCCTAAATCTCCACTTATCTCCCTAATGGGATTTGAACCCTAGACCTTAAGAAGGAAAGACAACACCGGATACCGTTGAACTAAAAGCCCTTTGGTTCTCCTCCTCTAGCTACCATGTGATTAATAAAGCTACATCTTTCGGTTTGAGGAATTTGTGTGTGTTTGTAAATAAAATGTAACATAATATGCAAATCACGTTAAAGATATTGTTTATCAAGAGTTTTGATCAAATTCATCCTTATGATTACGAAATAAGTTTCCACACGCATCTATAAAGTTACGTCTAAGCCCATGTAATATATATTTTTTTGGAAACGGCAAATAATATTAAAATGAAAGACCACGATTAGCAAGTGATTAAGAACGTGGCCAAAGTCTAGTAGAGAGGTACAGAAAACAAAACAACAGGAAATTAACAATGAAAATGACTAAAAGGCGAGGAACTCCATTAAATCAAGCTCCTACACCCCTGAGGACTCTTGTCATTCTCAATCTATTGGCTTTCCAATTCTAACACTAAATCTTATTTTTTCAACCTTCATCTTCACTTCTTTGTATTATTTTTGAATAAACGATACCGCCTGTATGCTTATGTGGAAGTACTATCGGCGGTGTACACTGCTTCTAATTGTATTATTGTCGGCGGTATATTACCGGAGGCAAACCTTCACCGCTGAAAAATTGGACCATTTGAACGACCATTTGTACTATAGCTGTTAGAGTGTCTTTATCATTTCCTTTTTTCTTTTTTCTTTTTTCAAATTATATATATATATATATTATATATATATATATATATATATATATATATATAT